GCAGGTACCCCCCCCTCCTCCCTCTCCCACCGTCCGTGTTGCTGTGTGTCCTTCTTGAGCCTGCTCTTTTGTTAACTCTCAGGAAATCAATCATACTCTGTCAAGACTAGAGAGATAAGCCTGCTTTACTGGCTAGTATCCACGAGGCGAGAACTTCAGTGCAGCTGAAGCATGCAAACGTGTTAGTTGCTCAGTCACGTCTGATACTCTTAGAGACCCCATGGACTGTAGTCCACCAGGCTCCTCTGTCCGTGGAATTCTCCAGGCAAGAATACTGGAGTGGGTAGCTATCTCCTTCTCCAGGGTATCTTCCCAACCCAGGGATCCAACCCGGGTCTCCTGCATTGCAGGCAGATTCTTTACCATCTGAGCCACCATGGAAACCCAAAGCTGAAGCATAGACTATGCTTAAAGGCAGCCAGAAGTAAAGGAGAGAAAGGACTGATGGAAATGCGAATTGAAAGATCCTTCCATCCAGGTCACAGGGGCAGGAAGAGGACCTTGCTTAGCCCTGGGATCTGTTTCTATCTTATGTTGCAGCTCCAAGGAGGAAGCCAAGTGCCCTGTGTGACTGTGGGGATTTGAAGGAAGCACGTGGATTGCTAAGCTCATCCTGCAATAGCAGCAACTTTTAGGAACAGAACTGGCTGGCTCCCTGATCTTGGACTTTCCAGCCTCCAGACCAGGGAGAAATAGACGTTTGTTGTTTAAGTACCATCCTGTCAATGGTACTTTCTTATATGGCAGCCCAAGTTGACCAAGGCAATAGGAAATCCAGAAAGAGGGACAAGTTTGTAGAAACCTTCAATGGTGTTTCAGCCCTACTGCACTTCAGTGGCAGAGAGGACCAGGAGGCAGTTAGATACTCTGGTCTCAAGTTCAGCTGTCAATCAGTGTAGATGAAGCAGCAAAGGAATAACTGAGAGCCTGGGAAGACAGATCTTCTGTTAATGGGCTTCCCTGGCAGCTCAGATGGTAAAGAATCTGCCTGCAATGCAGGAGGCCAGGGGTTGGATCCCTGGGTTGGAGGGATCCCCTGGAGAAGAACACGGCAACCCACTCCAGTATTCTTGCCTGGAGAATCCCATGGACAGAGGAGCCTGGCTATAGTCCGTAGTTTTGCATAGAATTGGACACAACTGAGTGACTATAACTTTAATTCAGTGCAATGAATACTACACAGGCCCTGGTAAAGCACCGTAGGACATGCAAGGAGGAGTCACATGTAGCCTAATGTTTTAAGGAGCCTGTGTATGTGTGCGAGCTCCGTTGTGTTTGACTCTTTGCCATCCCTTGGACTGTAGTTCCTCTGTCCATGGAATTTTTCTAGGCCAGAATACTGGAGCAACTTTGCATTTCCTACTTCAGGGGATCTTCCTGACCCAGGGATCCAACGAGCGTCTCTTGTGTCTTCTGTGTTGGCAGGCGGATTCTTTACCTCTGAGCCACCACAGAAGCCCTTTAAGGAGTCTACTTCGTTTATGGCCTCGAACACAGGTTTAACATGTGCAAACGTATTTCGAAGATTTATTGCTGAAGTAAGGTGTAAAATGATGTCTACAAATTTAGGTCTCTTTCTCTGGCTTTCTCTGAGGTTTTCCATATAAGTCAGTCCCCCCTTTTTTCTTTCTTTTTTTTCTTCAGATTTCTTAAGAGATTAAGCCAAATTCTAGGAGGTGATAAACATGAGAATTGATTTACTTGCTCTTTATTTTCTGTCATATTTTATGCTGAAACATAACATGACTAACTCACAGCAGTCCAAACAATGAAGGGTACATCTTTATGGAAGTCGCCAGTCTTAGGAATTAAAGTGGAGAGAGAATGGAGGAAAGTTAAAACTATTTACTTGTTTTTTAGAGTTAAACTTCTTTTTCAAACCTATTTTTCTGTATGTTGGTTAACTATTTTTAGATAAACACACATACACACGCAGTTACAGTCTCTCAGTTGACTGCTAAAGCTTATGAAATGGGCAGTAGATATTTTAAAAAATGCTTAAAATATTTAAGAAAATACTTAAGAAACATTCTAAAATACATGAATTTGCACGAAGAACAACTGTAGGACTGCAGTACCTTCTTTTGGAAATTAAACATTGGAATAAAAGATGAAGTTTTAGAATTTGAATTTAATATGCATGCTGAAAGTGCTAATATGCACTTTTTTATCATCATGAATTGAGAAACAGTCATTTAAAGCAAATAATGGTATCTTGTTTCAACAGGAATTTGCATATTTTGCCAATATCTTGGTAATATTTTAGGAAATCTCTTTCTAAAGTATGAGATTTCCTATTGGAAAAACATTCAGATTCAGTGAATTCATATGGAAAATTTGTCTTCGGTCTCTTTAAATATTTTAAGTTTAATTTCTTTTCAATCACATTTAGCCAGTGGAATACAGGTAACATATTTTGTTCTTCTTCCCTGAGAAACTGATGTTTACTCTTTTAAGGACTCAAAGGGGCTTTTCAAAATTAACTTCAATTTTTATGGCCCCTGTTTCATATCCCTTGTGTGACTATTTATTGTGGAGACTTATGAATGACGGAGCCAATTTCAGCAGCTGACTACCGAATTTCTTTGCTTGAGTGAGTATAAAAAAACTTTGGCAATGTGTTCAGACCCGAGTTTAGCTCCTAAGCAAAACTTTTTATAACAGCCAGGATATAAATCATCATGAAGGAGGCACCTGAACACAGAAACACACTTTTAAAAAATTCATCGAAAATTTGAAAAGCGCTTTCAATTAAGTTTCTACAACTGCAGTTCATCTCTCTGGAACAAATAAGTTCCCTTTTGTAAGAGTTTTATCTTTTCAAGTATCTATTGTATCATTGCTCAAGGTAGAACTCTAAGTAAAATTACAATTTTAAAACCTTTTGGGCAATGGTTCTAATTAATATAATTAATATTTTAGCAAAATGTCATGGGTTGTAATTGAAAGAAACCATCTGGGTCTGAAGAGTACCTACTGAGGGCAACCCTATTAAGATTAATTCTGAGGTGAGTAAATTAATTTCCTGGACTTGCAAAGCAGCAAGGGGAAGCTCTTCCCTCTTCAGAAACCTGGAGGGGTTGGTCCTTGGCCCAGTAGAGACCCAAGGGCTATCTGGACTGATTAACATATATATAATTAAAGTGCATCAGCTAGAAAGACAGAGCCAGTTTTATTTGGTTCTGCACTTCTGTGAAATAATTTCTGTCAACATTATTTTGTGTGTGTGTGTGTGTGTGTGTCAGAGAGAGGTCTAGTTTCCCTGAGTATCATTCTGTTGCCTTTTTCGAATTCTTGCTCCCTCTCCTAGCAGATACCAAAGAGTAGACAAGATTTCTCTAGCATTCAAACAATTTCCTTTCTGTTCAGATCACCATTTTCAAGCCACATTTTTCATCACCTGGTAGGAAACACTGTAAATAATTGAGGTGATCCATCAAGAGACCCATTCTTGATAATGAAAAATTGCATAACTCAGTAGAAGTCAATTAAAAACCACAAACTTCAGAACCCTTTGCTCAGTGAAGATTTATTATTATAGAAGGCATTTAATACAATAGACTATGGGGTGAGATTTTTTAAAAGTTATAAAAATTCAGTTAAAGTTTGACAATAGACAAGATTTACACAATGTCAAAGTGTATTAGTTCTTTGAAATGAAAGAGTTTTATTTTTTTCCTTCAACACGAAATGCCTTGAGATGTTCAGGATTTTAAAACCACAATGAGAAACAACATCTACCATGAGATTTTTTTTCCCTTTGTAGGTGTAAACGATTCTTGCTCTTTGGTTGTGCCTATACGTTAAAGGCAGACAAACTAAATGAGAGAAGTCAGAATATTTTTCTGTTAAACCAAATATCTGAATCATTAGAACTACATAGATTAATGACAAATGTTTTTGTTATGTGGTTACTTGGTTAGGACACAGCCAACATTAAATAGAATGTACTATCTTATATGTCTGCATATAAATTTAGTGAACAGTGACTTTGCTTCTTTAGAGACATTCAGTGCTGTGTGAGTGGCTGAGGGGAAAATGTCAAGTCTCTCAAATGTAACATCCATAATACTCTTTTCCTTTTTAGTGGTTCGTCATGCCCCAAACATAAAATTAATTAAGGAGCAAGCCTTATCTTCAAAAATCAAAAATATTCATTTTGAGATGTGCAATCTCCCAGCATAAGTTTAAGCTCTGCTTAAAAACTTAGGTAGGATATGGTAGTTAGGCCTGACAAATGCCTAACTCCAACCAACAGAGCACATGTGACTTGCTTCCTACTGAAATTAAGCTGCCAAAAAGGAGGGATTGTCCCCTTTCTTAATAACAAAGAATGCAATCCTTAGAATTCTTCAGACTTGGAATTCCAGCAGTGTTCTTGCGTTTTCCTCGATGTGTGACAAGAATGAATATCAAAAATAAAAATAAACCTCATCTAAACAAGTAGTCCTTTGACTTTGTAAGTCTCAACATCAAATACATCAAATTCTAAAAATACCTAAGACCAGTGAAATGTCAGAGCTGAGGGGGTAACATGATAGAGATAGGGGACAGATTTTTAAAAATCTTTACATTTTTTGGAATCTATTAGCATTAACTTTATTCATTTCTGTTGAGATATTGCCATTTCAACTGACTACTAGAGGCCATATTTCATATTCATATAAATATTTGACTTTGACCTCACAAAAAGTCCCTTGGGTTTGTAATACTTTTATTCTTGTATAAGCTGAAACAAATCCTTTCCTTTTAAAAATCAAACAGACCACGTTACACACACAGTTGACTAACTATTTACAAAGCACCCAATTAAATCCTACTTAATTCTCCCTCACTCTAAAAATTCCATCTAACTGGTGTGTAGAGCACTGATCACATTAGATGCACAATGTTCACGAGCCCTGACAGTCCTATCTAACCCAGAAAATACTACCTTCCTTCAAGAGAAAAGAAAAGTCTTAAAAATAAGTGTTAAGGTTTTGAAGAAATGAGACCAGAAATCACGGTACAAGACAGATAAGTCTACTTTAATATTCACATGTAAAAGTTACACATCACAAGAGATTGGACAGTAGTTTAGCGGTTAACTAACATAGCTATAGTGAAAATCATTTTTATAAAAAAATAATCTAGATGCGGTCATCAGAATTTTTGGTCTACTTAAGTTAATGTTTGAAGATCGACTTTTATCCCTGCTTGAAGGATTTGCCATTATGCCTTTTACGTTTTTTTTTTTCTCCCACTGTTGCCTATTAATATTCTTTGGAGGAAGGAAAGCAGAAAGTGTTCATTGCCAAGAGTTTGTCCTTTGGTAGCAAGCAGAGAACATTTTTCATTTCTATGATTTAAATAATCTGTACAGACATGAAACTCAGTGACATTAAGCTTTAGTGTAAAATGAAGAATGATAAGCATTTTTCCACTTTGATAAAACAGTAGATTTCATAAACTCATCAGGATCCAAGCATTCCCCCATCCCGTAAGCAAAATCATTCCGAATCCATCTTGACCTCGGTTAAAAAAGGAAAAACAAACACTTACTCTTTATATATTATACTATCAAACCCTGTACTTAAAAACTGATAAAGCGTATACATGTAGACTTCAAATACAAAGATTTCGATCTAGGTTAAAGAAAACACATTTGAATGGACTCAGAACAAGTTTATTTTGTGATTAAACATCTCATGCAGTCATGCAGGATCACTAGCTGTAACTGTTACTTCCGAGTCTACAGGACACCAGGCAAAACAAAAACAAATTAAGAGCCAGACCAAACAGAAAAGACATTCAAGATTATCAAGAGCTCTTCAACTGAGCTGAAAAATAATTTTCCAAAAGAAATATTCCCACAGATTAAAAAAAAAACACACACATAATATTTACAAAAAATATTTAATTAAAAATATCTTATAATTACAGTAGTCTATTAAAGCATATACTTTCTCACACTTATAGAGCATCTCTATATATACATGGTATGAAATGTCACTCAGTTATCTATACAATATGTAACATTCTTGCAGGGAACACAAAGTTCCCTGCCCCCGTATAAACATCTATTTTAAACAATAGATGTAAAAAAAAAATATATCTACAATGTTCTGGTTTATTAGTAAAGCTTCGAAACAAAAATTGAGCTCCTTGGTAACAAGGTCGGTTTCTAACAGTCGGATTTACTCTTGACTCTTTTATCAGTCCTGTCACACTTAAGCTTAAAAGTTTAACTGCACCTCCAAAAAACACAGAAATGTACAATTCACAGCGGTTATAAATGGGACAAAAGAGAATACGTATGTAGAATGTTTATGAACGTGCAAAAAAAAAAAATTAACAAAGATGAAAAGTTTTCTTTTTCTTCCCTCTCTCTTGGAATGACGACTGAAACGTTTCTAGGATTTGCTGATCTTTTTTGTTAAGTTTCCTTCCTCCGGGTGGTTTTTTTTCTACCTCCCGCTCTCTCCCCCTCCCTCTCTAGGGCTCCTGGCTCGGGCTCAGGCGGCCGCACACCTGTGGAAGAGGAATGAATAGAGGGGGTGTGTGAACCTTCCCGCTGCAGACTAACTGGCGCCACCGACCAAACTCAAGACACGCTTGATCAACAACCCAAAACAAACCACCGGGGCAGACTACACCCGCAGTCCGCCGCCCGGCCCGGCGCCGAGCAGGCCGTCGAGAGGCCCCGGGAAGCCCGCGCAGGGGACCCACTCCGGGGACCCTGCCTGCGCGTCCTCTTTCGTGGGTGTCAGACTGCACGGGGAGGGGCGGGGGGGGGGAACATCGGACCCCACGCCCACGAGGGTACCCTCCCTTCGGCGGGGAGACCGGCCGATTACTGGGGGCGGCGGGGACACGAGCTGATCCGTCCCCCAGTTCTCGGAGCTACTAAGTACGGGTTCACTTACTAACTGGGTGGCAGAGTGAGAGAGGTAGGGGTGTCCGCCTCCTTGGGAATCTGCTCTCAGAAATGCTGGGGCGGGGGTGGGGGAATGGCAAAGAACACCACGGTGCCTGACACCGGAAGGCCCCGGGGACGGGGTGTCTCCGGTGACCGGCCACCCGAGAAGGGAAACGCGCGCTCACCTGGGACGCGCGGCTCAGCGGCAGAGAATGCTGTCGCCCTGCTTGTTCACCGCGCCGGCCTGGAACAGCAACCGACACCGAGGGAGAGGTTAGCGGGCGCCCCCACCGCGCTCCTCCGGGTCTTCCCCATCGGTTCCCGAACCCAGGCTGGCCCGCCGACGCACGCCGCCACCCCAGCCTGCAGCCCCGGGGGGAGACGCCCCTTCCCCGGGGGGCACCGGCTGGACTTGACAGCCCAGGAGGCGCCCAGCCCCTGGTCCCCGCCCCGCGCGTCCACCCAGCCGGCCCCCCCAAGCTCGCGCACCCAGCCCGCCGGCGGCGGCCCCCGAGAGGAGCGGCAGGACGGAACTGTCACTCTCCGCCGCCCCTGCCCCGGGGAAAAGGAGCGCCCGCGTGCCTCCACCCGGCCGTCGCCCGCCCCGGGGCCTCTCACCGGGTCGGTGTTGAGCGCGGTGAGCGGGGTCCGTGGTGGCGCGGCCGGGCAGGTCCCGGCCGGGAGGTGCGGCGGCGCGGGCGGCGGCGGCTGCCTCAGGAGAGCCGGGTGCGTCTCCAGCGCCAGCTGCAGATCCAGGATGTAGTCGATAACGTGCTGCAGGAGCTCCACTTTGCTGACTTTCTTGTTGGGCGGGATGGTGGGCACCAGCCTTCGCAGGCGGCTGTAGCAGTCGTTCATATCGCACTGCAGGCACAGCGNGGGAGGCGGCGAGGGCGGGGGCTCCGGGCGATGCCGGGGGGCGGGAGCCGGGCAACCCGAGCGGAGGGGTGGGCGGGGGGTCGGGAGTGCCCAGCCAATCAGGCGGACGGTGCCACCTCAGGGAATGAAGCTCGGGCCAATGGGAAGGGCACTCCATTCCGTCAACGCCGTGGGTGGGGGCTCTGAGAACCGAGAGCTGGGTGGGAGTCGGGCCAGGCTGGTGTGTGCCCTAGGGAGGCGAAAGAGAGGGAGAAGTTAATTGCGAAGAGCTGCGGGAATGTGCGGCTGGGATTCATTCTCCTCCCCGGCTTAGGCGGTGGAGGGAGCGCCCGGGCCCTGCTCGAGGCTCTCCTGCCACTGCTAACAGCCTGGCGCCCGAGGACCGTCCACCACCCATCCCTCCATCCCTGGATTCCAGCGCCTTAAGAAGGACGCTGTTCTAGAAGGCACGTTCGTTCTCCTGTTTCCCCACTCCGGTTTCTTCGGCTTTTCCCAACTGCCGAAACCATAATGATGGAATGGAATGCGTAGCCTTTCCGTGCCGGTTTTTAAAACGTTAAAGCTTGGGAGTGGGGGGTGGGGAGGGGGAAATGGAAAAGAAGGCCGAATGCACATTTTTGGTGAAGGGACATATAAATAAAACCAAGACGTTGTAGGGTTTTTCTCTTACCCATCTAGATGCAAAAGTGGGCTCAAGAAATGCAATTGCCTTGAACATTAAATTAGAGCACGTAAATATTAAAAATGCATGGGCACGGAGTATTTAAAATTCCACCATGACATATAATATTAATCCGTTTTATGTAAAATTCATACCTGTAACATAATGTAGGCGATTAATGCGCTGCTTCACGTATGTCATCGTGCCCCGCTTCAAATAAGATACTGAGAATGTCCAGTCTCCTTTTGCAAGGAAGTATTGAAATTCACACTTCAGTCCCGGTAGTCCTGCTTGGGCCCCATCCTGCAGAAAAGTCTGCTAATTAAAGACTTTCCTGGGTTAGATTTCTGATGGGAAAGCTGTCCTTCAGTGGCTCAAAACAAAACTGCACAGTGAACTTTGATAGGGCCTTGTGTCTGCTCTGCAAGAAAAACTTGAGCCCTTCAGATAAGAAATGAGTGTGAAAACCCTGTCAATGGGAGCATGAATTCTGTGTGCCTTTAGCCTGCAAACCTCCCACCTTTAGACAAGCTAGATGAATTAGCTCCAGCATTTTCTTAATTTATGTACCTTATATAAATAAGGGCCTTCGTTTTTATAGATAATTGAAAGAAAGGGATATGGACCTCATTTCTTCCTGTCTACCCTCTGTAAGGAAACCCTACCTTCCTTCTCAGATCTGAAATACCTGAATCAGGCGGGAATTTTGTTTAGCTACGTGGGTACTTTATGACTATGGCATTGCTATTTCTCCAGAGTACATTCCTTTTTCCTGATGAAGTGAGGAGTGACTGTTTAATGCTGGTTTCACAGGGAGAGGCAACAGCCCTCCTTGCCCCTAAATCCTTATATGTTAAGGCCTCTGATGTTTGTTTGGAAGTGAGTGACATTCTCATTTATTGATTCTTAATGTGCATGCCTCGATGGTCAGCGTGCATGGATGGTCAGTTATCCAGAAAAAGCAGAATTAGAAAACCCACAAGAAGATTCTCTTCTAAATACAGGCATAGTATTATAAATGCTTAAAAGTGTAAGCCGCTCCGTGGTGTCGGACTCTTTGCAACCTCAGGGACTATAGTGCACCAGACTCATGTCCATGGGATTTCCCAGGCAAGAGAATGGAGTGGGTTGCCATGCCCTTCTCCAGGGGATCTTCCCAACCCAGGGATTGAACCCCAAGTCTCTTGCATTGCAGGTAGACTCTTTACTGCCCGAGCCATCAGGAAATAACTGATTAAATTGATATAAACACACACAGAGCAAATATTGTCATTTTAGATAGAAAGCTGGGCAAGGGAACCCTTCTGGGTGCAAGTTATTCCCTTGGAGCCTATCACATCAGCAGATAATAATAATAAAAGGATCTGTATACAGATATTTTGTTCCACTGATTTTTTTCCTCTCTTTCTGAGAGTTTAAAGACTGCTCCTGAATTAAGAACCTATGATTTTTCTCTGTTTGACAAAATGTGTGTGCTGATATGCCCAGGGTACCCTCACACTTTAGAACTTTTCATATCTTAGGTTGATTAGAATTAAAATTTAAGTTTCAAATAGGTAACACTAAGGGACAATCATACCCATCTTTTTGAACCTGGTGAAATCTCCTGAAAGCCATGCCCTGGGTGTGGCAAGTGCCAAATACCAAAGTTTCAGGTTTTGTTGGGGTTGGTCTGTGTGTGACTGTCTTAGAGAGGCTGAGTGACTGTGGGACTCTTAACGGGTAAGTTAAAGGAATGTACTCTGGCCACAGGCTCTAGAACACTCAGGAAAAATGTGATCTCCAGCTCTTACCACAGAGGAGGCAGAAATAGTCATTGTTTTCTTCTTTGTGAAGGTGGAAAGGCAGCAAGACAGTAAAAAAAAAAAAAAAAAAATCACAGTTCTACCTAAAACATTATACCATGGAAATGAGGGAGATATGTATCCTGTGCCTTTTGACCCAGGAAACCAGAGTACTAGGAGCTACGCAGTGTCTGTTTTCGATTTTTAGACACAGACACTTACGTGATGTCGAAGCTAAAGTCTCGAAAGACTCCGGACACCGCTAGTTCAAAGCAGAGTTTACTCAGCAATTGCCAGCTTCTGTAGCAACCTCACAAGCTATATTATTTCTGCCGGAAGTTCAGCTTCCCATGACTCTTCCCTTTCACTTCAAACTGCTGCCCTCACACTTGTAAAAAGTAAGGAAGACAAGCCAAAAGCCCTTTGCCGTGAAAATGCTGGAGACTCCCCAAACATACCTCAATGGGAGGCAGGCGTGAAATATTCCGAGGAGAGTTGCTGGGGAGTCCTGGTGACCAGAGTCATGTGGATACCCCTTCCTCCAGACAAAGGGGTCTGCAGCCCTTCTGGGGTTGCTGTCTAGATGCTAATCAGACCCTCGCTGAACTGCAACACCCAGGCTCTCAGAACTCACAATCGCCCTGTGTTTACATGAAGCGTGGGTATCCAAGCATATTGTACTATTCAGCCCCAATGCCTTTTTAGGACTTGATATTTCTTTCTCCGTGGCCTGCAGTGAAACAGTGGGTGGGCTCAGGCTCACAGATAAACATGAGCTTTCCCATGCCTTGGTCCCTCTCTGGATGTAAGTGGTCACTGAACGAGGCCCATGCATTCTTTCTGGGCATAGGAAACCATGCTGTACTTTGCTGCAGGGGTGTCCCTTGCTGCAAAAGAGAAAATCGGGCAATGAGGCAGTTCAAATCAAGGCTGCTTTATCTGGCACTTAGCTTTATAAACTTACTTGTGCTACCCTTGGACTGCTGATACCAGTCCCGGAAACGTTGATAACTGCTGGGTTTACCGGGCCTTGGAAAAGGCTTATAGGAAGAGGACTCTGTATACTGAACATAGTTGGGCAGTCGTGGCCATCAACGATGCCCACTTCGGGAATTTTTCAAGGTAGTCTGTTGAAATAAGTTGTAGGTGATTTTTTTTAAAAGTCCCCCTCAGATAAATTAAGGACAGAAAATGAGAAGACAAAAATGTCATTAGTTTTTACTGTAGGAGGCATCAAGAATGTGGCCTCAAAATCAGTCGTGTCCGACTCTTTACGACCCCATGGACTGTAGCATACTGGGCTCCTCTGTCCATGGGATTTTCCAGGCAAGGGTAACCACTAAGTAAAATACACAGATGATGAATGAGCACATGAGAAGATGCTCAAAGTCACTGATCATTTGGGCTGTGCTTCAAGACTATAAGGAGATACTGCAACACACTTGTCAGAACTGCTAAAATTAAAAAGGTTGAACATGCTGAATATGGGTGAGGTTGTGGAACAACTGTAACTCTCTGTACTGCTAATGGGAATGTAGAAGGAGAAAAATCACTTTGGAAAACAATTTAGTAAGTTCTTAGAAAGTAAAATGTACACATACCATTTGACCCAGCCATTCCCTTGCTAGGCACCTATCCAAGATAGATAAAATCATATATCCAGGGGCCATGAAGGGGCATGAGAGTGATGAATATGTTTATTATCTTAACTGTGGTAATAGTCTCACAGATATATATTGAAACTTACTAAGTCATACAACATATCTGCATCTATTGAATGCCAGTTATCTCTCCATAGAGCTGTTTAAAAGTATTAATTTTAAAAGTTAACTTTCAAATCTCAGAAGAGTTCCTTCTATGAATCCACCAGGGTTTGTTTTCTAACTTCCACATGTGGGCATTTTATGGTCTCTCTCTTTCTCTGTCTTCCCTTTAAACTCTGTATCAAATTGCTCTCAGGCAGGTATCATAGCATTAACTGAATGCTGGTGAGACACTGTCCAAAGCAGTCACGAGACATATATTGCTTTAATGTATCAGCTGTCATGGTAATGCATTAACATATTCAGTCACTTACTGGAAGTGGACTCTGCTAAAACCGCATCTACTCCTTGCTGGTTCATGACCTGTTCTGTTGTGACGTGGATTTTTGAGGCTCTGAGGAGGAGACTCAGCCTGACTATTTGAAATGCTTTTCTCTTTTGCAAAAGCTAAAGTTATGTTCTGGTCTCTCATCTCTGTTTCACCTCAGTTGTGACCTCTTCGGTCTCAGTGATCCCAGATTAGCCGCTGCCTTGGGGCAAATGCACACTGGGTGGAGAAGATAAGGTACTTCATAACTCTGTTTTCAGGATGGCCTAGCATTTTCTCCTCTTCACTGTTTCCTTCGCAAGAAAATACACAATCTAACAGGATTAGATGCATTCACTTCCAGAGCAGGGAGCACAAATCCCCAGCAGGCACCATGTTTTTGCCCTTAAAATCCTATGGCTCAATCAGTAGCCTCAGCTTCTCCACTGGCCAAGAGGAGGGACTTAGAGGGATGGAGTAAGGATTAGCTGCTTTGAAAGCCCCAGGAGGAAAGCAGTAAGTAAACAATAGGGGGCAGTACACTTGTGCATAATAGACAGCGATGTCCATCAGTGCCTGTGCCATTATTGAAATGGGCTTGTAATAGATACAATGATTAGGAAGAGGCCAGAGAGACCAAATTCTCACTTTAGCTCATCGTTATCCTTTATAGAGAGAAATTTGAAGCAAAATTTATTTGTTTGTTTACTATTTTAAAAATTTGTCCCAGTAAATATTGATATATATCCCTCTGCCACATTCTTCCTTGGAACAGGAAGAGACTCTGCTAATAGTCTGTTCTGTTCATGGCATAAATTATGGCTAGACCTCACTGATGGATGGATTTTATTATTTCCCTTTCTTTTATTTTATTATTTTAAAATAGTTATTTTTATTTATGTATTTGACTGTGCTGGGTCTTCGTTGCATCATGCAGGATCTTTAGTTGTGGTATGCCAACTCTTAGTTGTAACATGTGGGATCTGGTTTCCTGACCAGGGATCGAACCCAGGGCATCCTACATTATAAGTGCTGAGTCTTAGACACTGGACCACCAGGGAAGCCCCCTCCCTTTGTTTTAAAGTGAACACAAAATAATCCCAAATACTACAGAAAAAGCTCAATTAAATGTATTTTAACTACTTAGAGGAGAAACACCAAGTAAACAGTATTTGGCTTCACATCTTGGAACTGAATGTTGAGTAGGAATTCAAAACAGCAAATCTGCCTTTGCTGAGAAAAATAGCTTTCCCATCTTTTTATATCTAGGTCATGGTTCCTAAGAACAGATACAATGTTCAAGAAACAGTTGCCTTATTTTGCCCCTGAGAAGGAATTTTGGAGGCA